CTTCGTCAGCATTACTGTCCGAGTGAAGTACGTGAGTTTATGCCCCGTGTTCGAAGACGGGTAGTACGTTAAGGTCCTAAGTTATGGCGGGTGATGAGCAGAGAGGGTATCGATCTGGCGGCGATAGTCGGAGGAGGGATGAGCGTCGCAGCGAGGAGCGGAAGGATGAAAACCGACGTGACGAAAACCGACGTGACGAAAACCGCAGGCGGCATATAGCACCGACGTGCTTTAACTGCCACGAGCCAGGGCACTATGCGAACCAGTGCCCTGAGAAGAATCGGCGGCGTTATTACTCGAACAGACGGTCGTCGTCCTTTGACTCACGTGGAGGGCGATCACCGCGAAGATGGGGTTATCAAAGGGACACGTCACCAGGAAAGGAGGCGATTAGCAGCATGATCGTCGAACTCGGGAAATCAGTGGCTGCTATGAAAGACTTTTATTAGGAGGCAGGACTCAAAAAAAAGGCGAAGGAGCGCCAAAAGATTGAGAAGAGGGAGGCAAAGGAGGGTGAGGCAGCAGAACGCGAAAAGGAGGAGCGCAAAGCTAAGAAGAGGATGGACAAGTTGAGAAGGGAAGCTGAGCTTGAAGCCGAATGAAGGGCGGAACTTTCTAAGGACAACGACATTCACCTTGCGATCAGCTTGAGCGAAATGGAGGAGAATTTCCCCACAAAAATGAAGTGTGTTATGGAGCCCTTAAAAGAGCTGCTCAAAAAAGGGAAGAAGTAGGTCACCTATGCATCCGCTAGTGGCTCGGCCTCTGAAGATGCTAGCGACACCAGTGTGACACAAGAGTTGAGCGAGCAAGCCGACAGATTGTTCATCTCTGACAAACGTAAGCGGGGCCCCGAGCAAACGGTAGGAGACAACCCACCAATGGAGTTGCCCCCGAAGCGTACACCAAGGAGGGGAACCTTGAAACCGACCGGAAGGCTTACAAGAGCGAAGAAGATGATAGTGAAATCGTCCGGATCAGCCAAGCGAAAGACGCCTGTGAAGACGCCTTTATCTGCCAGATTGAAGCCGGCCAAACAGATGAAGACACCAATACGGGTGGGGACCCCGGCAATTGCAGCGTCTGCGGTACCGAGACTTGGTCTTGAAAGACCTCAAGCATCTTGACGCTATAGAATTGCAGCGCATTTGCAAAGAGGAGGGCGTTTCGATGATGGTAAGATTGATGCTATCTTTGCGATAGCTGAGAGGCGTGTCTGTGAGAAGTATGGACCTTACCTCCTCGAGGTCACCGATGTTATCGAGGTTATTGATAGTGAGGCAGGCCAACTGTCGCAGGACCAGGTAGACAGCTAACGTGTGTTGGAGATTCCAATTGTTTGGGATTTGTGGAAGTATTTGACGAAGCTTCGTGGCCGTGTCGCTTGTATTGATGGACGAATAAAAGAAGTCTTACGTCATATAGTGCTAAAATTGTCATTGGATGGCGAGATCAAGTGGGCTCAAAGGTTTGTTCCTTCCTGGTTGGAGATGTACGATAAACACGGAATTGAGTTTTTACACTTATCGAACGTGGTGTATGTCGGCTTATCCCCGTATTGTAAAGCACTGTACGTTGGTAAGACCTTCAGGGATGTGACCACTAGATGGCGTGAACACGTGTATGTATGTAAGTCCTGCAACCTGGCACATTTTCACCCCTTGTTATTGAGCTTTGGTGTGGGAAATTACCTTTTGATGCCTATCGATCATTTGGAGAGGGATGAATTGAAGAAGTTGGAAGAAGTATACATCATGCGTTCGTTTCCTTTTTTGAATTCGTCCGGAATGTCGCATGGCAAAAATGGGAAGAAGTCAAGACCAGGGCGGAAGGAGCGGAGTAAGGCACGTAAGGAGTGGCAGGGAGTTGCCGGGGTCTGTAAGATCATTCGGGGTAGACGGTCAAAGGATGAACCTTGGGTTATTGACCTATATTTTTTGTTTGACTCCGGTATGAAGGATAGCACGCTAAAACTGCGCGTCATTATTGAGGAAGCGAACGTATGGCACACCTGCTGGAAGAAGTTTGTCAAGGCCTTTGGTGATACCAAGTTACGAAAGGACGGACAAGTGATAAGACTTAGAGATTCTTAGCGATGCTTGGAAGAAGGAGAGGAGATTGAGGTAGTACATTGGTGGAAGTGGAAACCCTGATGCCGTTATCTGAAGTCCATGCTTGTCCAAATCCTGGGTAACCCACGAAAGTTAGACGATGTTTTTTCTTGGAGTTTACAATCTCTGTTAAGACTGTATAGGGCTATAAAGGATTTTTCGAAGAAGTCTACGAGAAAATACTTGCGTCGGATTATATCCAGAATTTTACGCCAAGGATTTGATATGAGCATGAGCTCTGATCTGATTTTTCGTTTGAAATTTGATGATCGTATTAAAATCTCTGAGGTTCGAAAAGTTGTGAATGATGCGCTGATGCTCGGCGAGTTACTGCAGTGTTTCCTAAACTGGACGCGAAGAAAAGTGCATGTTGTATGGGCTAAAAATCCGTCGGTATCGGATGTGATGCACAATCAGCGAGCCTATGCTGCTCGTAATGTGCTGACATGTAGAGGGACACAATCGCTTTCGGCTTAGTGAGCTGGAAGGGTTGCACCCGCTGCTGCACAACGCCAATAACATACCCAAAGTGGTAGGTCGGGATCGTTTGGGTTTGCTGTAGAAGGAGATTCGCTATAACTTTCTAATTGGAATAATTGAAAGAGCGAACCCCTGGATATTTCCCTCGACAGTTTGCAGAGTTGCATCAACACCTCGCTGTGCGAGCCTGAGGTCCATCTGAGCATGAAGTATGTGCGCGAGGTCTTGGCGAGGCTTCAGGGTCTGGTCTTGTCCCCCCTGGACAACAATCCGGGTGAGACTGTGGCCATGTACCCATTTTTGTATTTTGAAGCTATGATGTCTACATTTGCTTTGAGTTAAGGTTACCGTGTAATGAATGTATCTGAACAACAGATATTGAGGAAATGAAGGGGGAAGTCGATGGTCTCGGTCTGACCAAGTTCGTGCGTTGGGATAAGACGGGGGAGTTTGGCTCTGTGTACGTTCTACCTAAGGAGAAAGATTTGGACAGATACAGGCCAATTTGGATCAGAGCCGATGGTGTGCACTGGCAAGGTAGTTTCGCGAGGGCTGAACTTCCTCTTGAAAGCTCTCCCGAAGAAGTGGCATTTTAATCTTACGGTCGTTTCTGGTCTTGCGAGCCGACTATCTGAAGTTAATTTGAAGTTACTTCGTTTGGATGATGATTGCTCCGTTTCAACCTTCTCCTTTGACATTAAGGAAATGTTTAGTCAACTTCCTCACGTTGAGATTCTAAGAGTCGTTGATTGGTTGTTTGGATACCATTTGGCAAAAGGGAGGTCTGGAGTGAGATTGAACCCCAGGGGAATTTGGTTGTTTGAATACCATTTGGCAAAAGGGAGGTCTGCAGTGAGAGTGAACCCTAGGGGAAAGGGGGCCTCCTTTGGTTTGACCACGGGCGCTAACCATTGGAGACTCCTGGACCTGCAACAGATGGCGACGTTTGTGCGTCTGGAGTTGGCACATATGTAAACATTTGCTACTGGGGTGCTACTAAAACATGTTGTAGGCATCCCTATGGGAAAAACTACGAGCCCACCGCTCGCGTGCATTTTATGTGCGTATGCCGAACACCAGTTTCTGCAAAGCTTGGGGAAGGTTCTAGACTGGTTTTCTGTACTCGGCTGATTGACGATGTGATGTTGACGATTGCGGCAAATGATGCAGAGAAGAGGGACGGGATACTATCCTCCTTTGAGAAGTGTTACCCAACTGAACTTACTCTAAAGCGGACTGATGATGGCTCGGGAACCTTTGAATTTCTTGGCTGCCGGATTATTGCGAAGACCAGGTATCTCTTTGTCAGCAGTGTACAGGTTTTGAAGAATGAAGCTACTCTTCGGTATGAGCAGCGCCTGCAGATCCAATGTGGACAGTCTTACCTTTCTTGGGGCTGTAAGAAGCAGAAAAGTGTAGTGATTGGGAGCCATTTGCACCGCATCAATGGGAATATCATGATACGATCTGAAATTCCGCAAAGGGTGCGGGCAGTAAAATAGGAACTGGTGAACAAGGATTTCCCTGCGGACTTCTTCATGAAGGTTTTGAGAAGTTTTGCCTTCAGAAAGGACCACATTTAAAAGTGTACTATTGACCTGTTCGGTATGTAGCATTGGTTTAGCAAGTGACGCGGTTTGCCTGATGTTGTGAAGCATCGACTTCGCCGGAGTGTTCGGATATGGTGCTTGTTTTATTCCCTTGTATTTTGTATGTCCTTGAATTCGGATAGGGGGCTTGTCTTCATTTTCGTTGTATTTTTTTGCATCCGCTGCTGGTACTTGATGGCAAGTATTCAGTAAAGTAGGTTCTTACTTAGGCTTGGAGTGTGCTTTGGCCACCTTTGAAACGGTGGTATGATCCAGTTTCTTTCGGTGTTTTCTGGCCTATGGGTCTGATGCTACCCACACTGGGTTTCCTGTGTATACTTTTCGTCGTATCCGGGACCGTCCGTACGGGCGGCCTTGAATTGAACCTTTGTCGGCAGTTTGTCTGTCCGACACAAAGGTCATTTCCACACTTCGTTGTCAGTCCGGTACCTAATACATGCTCCATGCGCGCGATTAACGCACGTGGAACAATCTACCCAATCAACAAATCCGGTCTCAGAGGGGTGAAAATCTACCCCGTAGACCCGTGAAATACACGTACAAAAATAACAAAACTTATCAGGAAGGGTGGCGAAAAAGGCTAAGGCGGTGAGGGAAATGGGCTGAGATGGGGAAGAAAGGGTCGCTGGGACAGGCAAGGTAGCCATGGATAGAGAAAGGGAGAGAGAAAGAAAAACGAAGAGAGAGGAAAGGGAGCAGGGCTACAGGGAAGATAGATGGGGAGCCCCGTGTTGCTTAATCCTTCGACATAATTTCCACCTGCCCGTACCGTGCCCCGATGTCACTCTTCGGCTCATTCCACGGAATCACCTCTTCATTCTTGGGAACCTTCTCTGGCCGATGCAGTCGTGTTAATACGTCAGCATTCTCGTGTCTCTCGTGCTTTCAGTGACGGATGTCAAAATCCATGCTCTGCAACACTTTCGCTCATCGCCCAATCATGCCCAAGTAATCCTCTGATTTCTTCAGAGCTAGCAGGGGTTCATGATCAGTCACCAGCGTGAACTTACGTCCGTACAAAAAGGCTCGAAAGTGGCTGATTCCCCACAACGCTGCATAGCACTGTCCAGTTGGAGAGGCGTAATTGCACTTGCACGCTGGCACCGTCTTAGATGCGTACTCCACCACGTGTTCGAGTCCGTTCGGTCCCACTTGGGCCAAGATCGCAGAAATCGCCTCCGGTTGCCTGTCCGTGATGAGGACAAAAGGTGTTTCGAGATCCAGCCTTATAAGGACCGGTGTCGAAATAAGGGCTACCTTGAGTCTCGAAAACGCCTGATCACATTCCGGCGTCCAAATCAACGGTCGATCCTTTTTCAGCACGTTCGTGAGGGGTCTCGCAATCGCCACGAAACCCTTGATGAATCTTCGATAGTACGAGGCCAGGCCCGAAAAGGCGCGAACTTGCATAATAGTCGTGGGTACAGGGGCGTCTCTGACAGCTGCCATCTTCTGAGGTTCTGGCTTGAACCCTTGGTCCGTCACCACGTGTCCCAAAAAGGAAATTGTAGTGAGGAAAACTGGTTTTTTTTCCAACGCCGCCTTGAAACCGGCATCTCTTAACGCATGCAAGACCCACTCGATGTGTTGCACGTGTCCCTTATAGGAGCTTGAATACACCAAAATGTCGTCCGTGTACACGATCACGCAGTAGTTAATGATGTTCTGCGCCAACCGTGTCTTCCGTACAAAGTTCTGAAAAGTGATGTTCATGGCTCGCTGAAAAGTGGTTGGAGCCTTGCAAATGCCCATTGGGCATGGAATCCACTGCCAAGTCCCTTTGAACAACACAAATGTTGTTTTTTGACGATCTTCCTCCCGGACAAGAAGATGATGGAACCCATAACGAACATCAAATTTATTGAAAAATCGCGCACTCCCAATCGCATTGAATAATTCATCCATCCGAGGAAGGGGGTACACATCTTTAATCGTGATATCATTCAACTTTCGATAATCGATGCATAGACAAATTCCTGTGGACTTTTGGGGTACAATTACCACAGGAAAAGACCATGGTCCTATGGCGGGTTCGATCCATCCATTAGCTTCGAATTCCTTAATCCCCTCAAAAGCGGCCGCTCGTTGAGCGGACGAATATCGATAAGGAACGCAGCTAATGGGAGGATGATCTCCCGTCAGGATAGCATGCTCAATCACATTGGACAATCCAATATCATTATCATGTACACTCAAGACTTTCACATAACCATTCAGCACATCAATCAAGATTTCTCGAACTCCAGGGGGACAAGATTAAGCACAGCGACATTCGGTCGATCGATTATTTCAAGAGGCACGTTGATCTCATCGGTGGATCGGTTCCGTCTGTCATGTACACTACAAAACACAGAGCTGCTAGTACGAACAGAGGACACGGTTGCAATCATCTGAGATTCCGCAGGGCTAATCATCTCGGTCTCTTTAATCTTGACGTCAGTTTCAGAATCAATCGTAGCTTCTTCTACGGTTAGTCCTGTCAAATCGACCATTTCTTGCATTAGATCCAGCACGTCGTCGACTGGGGCTTCGGCTTCTCGTTTAATCAAAGCAATGGTTGCTCCCGTCATAAGCAACGATCTTGGCGGGGAGGCATAAACATCCAGAAATTGTTTCATTTGCTGGTAACGTGCTTGAAGAGAAAGTGTTCCCTCATACAGGGTGCAAGGGGGTTCCAAGTTGTCTGCAAGATCCGAGATTTGTAAGATGGGTTCCCCAAGAAAGGTTGAGGAGTTGACATGAGTCTCAGTGGGTGTGGTCGTATTATCCTCCAAACTCAAGTAAAAGGTACGTGTGGTTCCAAGAACCATACGAAATTCCTCCGGAGTTTCATGCTCAAAAAGTTCAACCAACTGTTTCCATTCATTCTTGCTAGGCATTTCTTCTTCATATTCCAGCTCTTCGAAACCTCTGCCATCATCCGGAGATGGAGACGGATTCGCCTCGCAGTCGGGACCTTGGATCATCCCGATTCGAACGAAATTCGGGTTTCTTTTTACGGTTCAAGTAAAAATCCGCAATGGAACTGTCCGAGGTCATCCGCCTGTCTGCGTAAGGACCAACTGCTTAGAGTCGAAATGTACGTGGGAACCTACCGCCATGACCCAAGGCAAACCCAACAACACAGAATACAATTGCACGTCTATTGCTAAAGCATTTACGAGAACATGCACTCGTCTAACTTTCACAACCACGTTCTCAAAGACCCCAACAATATTCATTGCTTCCTCGTCGGGGGAGACATAAATATCTTTGCCAGATTGAGGAAGGATGGAATTGAGTCGACCTGTTTTCCTTACCGTATCCAGGGATTATAACGACCACGGAACACCCGATGTCAATAAGGGCATTGAATGGCTTGCCCCAGATTTCACAATCACATTCATCACTTTTCCATAGCACGGGGCGAGCTCACACAAAATGATATTTCTCGGCTAGAGAAATCTTGGCCACCCTTGCGGCCTCAGGTTTGTCCATATCTGATTCGGGTGGGGTTATACCCTCGATCTCGTCCTCTTTCTTCTTTTTCAACATTCACTGAATACGTTGATAGGTGAAACGCTTCTCGTTCTTCTGGCATTGCTGCAACAGTTTGTCGTTCGCAGCTTCGGATATGGTGAGCAGATGTCCCACCGGGACTGGAACACGGATGTCCTGTTGTTTTAGCGTTCACACAACATCGATTTCCCCTGTCCGAAACCGTGGTCTGAGTTCGATTCGCGCTCAACCCATTCAAGGTCATCAATGGCTGGTCGGATCGCTCCGACCATGCCGGCGAGATGAAGGTATTCAGCTGGATCCACCACTTCAGCGACTTCAGAAGATGAAGTCCCTGAAGTCGATGCAATCGCCATTGAAGGTGAAGGTCGATCAGGGGTGTAGGCGATGATCGCGTCATCGCGGATCGTGTCCATGAGTGCTGCTACACGTCCTTGATTTAACGCTACGGGAGCTGCAACAGGTGGAGGCTGATTCCGTTTCGGCTGCAGGCAGTCTCGAGCGAAATGCCCGGGCTGTTTGCAGTTGTAAAATTCAATCCTCCCTGGAAAGCTGGTTGCTTGGGGGAGCTCCGACGTGTGTCCAAGTGCAGGTCGGGCGGCTAGAAGTGGAAACGATGCAGGAGCAAGCTGAGCAGGAGCCGGGTTGGGTTTGATTAATCTGCTCATGATCTGTTTCATTCGGTCCATATGAGTTGCCTGCATCTGAACCAAATTGCTCATCCATTCAGACGGTTTGGTAGTGGCCGTGTGAATCATCTGTGCCAAATGCATGTTCCTTATGGACGTGGGAGTGGGATCGCTCCAGGGGTTGACTGTAGCAATCTGCTGATGCATTGAAAACGATTGAGGGGGAGAGGAAGATGACGGCGGAATATCAGAAGCAAACCCATCCGGGATATCATGATCAGGGCGAGGATAATATCGTCCTATCGCTTGCAGACACGATCGTCGTTTCGCCGCTACATCCTGGATTGTATCAGTTATGTCCTCGTTTCCCTGACTAATATACTTCCTTGTATCCGTTAGATCCAACTCCAGTGCTTTGGCAATGATGGTTGACAACTAATTCGTTTTAGGAGGAATCTTTTTCTGTATCTTAGCCTTCAACATTGGATTTCGTAGGTGATCGACGAACAAATCCCGAGCGGACTTTTCATCCTAACCTAATTTATCCAAGGTAGTTTGAAAGCGATCTACGAAATCAGGCAGCAATTCTCGTGGTTCTTATGGTCGAGTTTTGAGTACATGCCACGCAGCATCTTAAGTGACCGTATCAAATCGGGCCAGGAATGCTTGCTTGAAGGTGTTCCAATCTACCTAGTGGTGCTTCCTAAACCAATCATGCGCAGTGTTGCGAAGCAGCAAGGTGATGACGCGGGGAAGATCATTGGCACTGTAGTTCTGAGCTTGGAAGCTTCCAGCCATCCTTCGGGGTGGGTATAATTAGAAAAAAACGAAAAAACAGCAGGATTACTAACAATCACCCTAGGGACCGCCATGCCACCGTCTGGCATTGGCACAGGCGGTCTTGCTCCGGCAGATGTAGATCGAGTCACCAGACAATCTCGTCGAGCAGGTTGAGGACTTCGTCCCCTTCTTCTCGCCAGATCGACTTACTTACACCAGAACCGACACGAGTCGGCTCCAATACCAACCTCACGCCCTGCGCTGTCTTTCGTTCGGAGTGCACATTGGGGTAGAACGGGCCCCGAAAGATCAGCAATTGTTGGGGTGTGCCAAGGATTTTTGGGAAATTGGGTGTGGGGACACAAACAAAACTGAAATCCCCTCGTGTTGGCACGATGAAGTAAGTTGATGGCCTTCGCGCGTCGCGGTATGTGCGCGCGGATACGACGCGAAAAAAAAAAAAATCAAATTTAATCTAAAAAGTACTGCCGAACCTCCCATCGTGCCACTGCCTGTCGTTTAGAGTGGAAAGGTTTTGGCACGCTCCGCGCATCTCGTTTTCCGTATCAAATCCTGCCGTCGCTCGCTGGTTAATTCCGAGTCCGACGTGGATGGTCTCAGTGGTGTGGCTCTTTCCTTATGCTCCTCTCCACTCCGTATGCGGTAGTGGAACCGTTTCGATTCGTATCGATCGAAACGCTGACACTTAGAGCATAAAGTTCTGGGCCTGTGGGGAGCTAGTGCCGTCCACGGAATGACAATGAGCTCATTGAATGGTAACAACACAGAATAAGGCGGGAAGTGTGTATCGACAATGACAAACCCCGCGTCCGCGAACCCTGAGCAATGGTTTTCGGGAGGGAAATAATATCCTCCAGCGACTCGTGCGACCACTTCCCGTACATCTCACTCACAGACACGTGTCCTTTCCTCGTTGTACGGGAAGGGAGACGTTCGCTTGGGGGATACGAGAGGCGGGTGCCCAATCGAGACGCGCTCAAATATCGGGCGTCATCAAAGAGAAAAGAAACCGCAATCGCAAAGAAGAGACTAGAACTTCCTTCCTTTCGCCTGACGAGAAACTTTTAAAGAGCTCATGCAAGGATACTAATTCGGGCGAAATAATCGGGTTGCAGTCCCGAAGGACCAAATCGTGACTTAAATTTCATAACCTCAGCAGACGTGAGTCCCCACGCCTTGCCCTTTTTGGGGAGGGAGATGCCATGCATCATAAGGCAGATGGCATGTGCAATGCATTCAAGACGACAAATCTAAACACTCTTGCATTCCCCAAACACAATCCAGACGCGTTCTGAGTGTAACCAAGGTAAGAATAAAAACGAGCTTTCTTTACCGTCATCCACTATGGAAGGTGCAAAAACAACAACAACACGATTATCCCATTAGTTAAGGACAAGCGGGTGGGGATCATGCACAGGCATCCACCGTTCACAAGACAAGGTGGGGAAGTCCCACGTATCAGGGGATTACCTAGGAAACTAATGGAAGAGTTCCGGAAGAAGTTCTTTTGTGCCCGGACACATGCGAGTTCACCTCTGTTCGCAGGCACTTCACACATCATCATTCTTATTTACAGAAAGGGAGAAGGGAAGAGAGGGGGCTAAGGGAGGAATCACACTCCTGAAATATACAGATCTGAGACACGGATCATTCGACTTCGATTTCACAAACTCATTCAAATGACGGAGAAAGAGTATCAGGAAGGAAGAGAGGAGATAAACGAAAAATGTTGGAATCACAAGTACAGAAATTCGTAAAGAAACGATCGGCTTTGCAGCCGTGCACTCACACCAAGGGGAATAGATCCGCAATAAGAAAGGCGCATCCGCCGTGAAATTCCAACCTGGCCCCAGACCAGTTAACCACTCAACTCTACTGCTGATCTTCAACCCTGCACCAACGATCCCGGCCGTCGCGTGCAACCTTCTGCCCCTGCGATCGTCACCCCGCGGATGCAGCTCGACACGGCTCGCCCAGATCCCACAGTCCGTCGTGGCGATCCAGCACGCAACCGGCCAGCCTACAGTCAGCCCGACAGGACTTTCTGACTCGCACCAAACACATCGCCTAGCCACTACTTCCCGGAAGCTGGCTTGCGAGTTGAGAGCATGAGAGAGATTTGCGGGCGCGTTTGCGGAATTTATAGTTGCGAGGAGAAGGCGAGAAGAAGAGAGCGGAGGTGGAGAAGGAGTAGAGGCATAGAGGGGAGAGAGTCAGAGGGAAATACACAAGGGAAGCCATGTTGAGTCTTTGTAACCCGATGTTTGGCCAATCAGATTCGTCGCGCAGTAGGAAGTTCCTTTTGCTCCGTGCGTCTGATAGGTGAACGGGGGTTATCGAAGGATCAATCAGGCTTGGAGAGTCAAGGTTGGAAGGTGGGTCGGGTCCAAGATTCAGAGGATCAAGAAGGAGCGGGCGTGCGCGCATAGTAGAGGGAGGGAGAGGGAAAAACAGTTACAATGGGAGAAACAGAGGAGAGAGGAGAGAGAGAGAGAGAGACGATGGCGCGGGAAGTAAGGAGGAGGAAGCTCGCATGCATGGCACTGGCAGCAAGAGAAAAAGGCACCAAAGTAGTTACAGTTTGCCTATGTCCTAAACCAATTCAAAAATTGAAATCACCATCTCCGCGCGCAAAGTCGACGCGGGAAAAGAAAATCCTATCCCTATCCGTATTCCCACAAAATTCCTAGAGCTTTCGATGACGCGACCGAGAACATTCATGCACAAAAAGGACACGTCGCGTTCCGGTTATTCCGGAATTCCCAACTGTCGAGCCCGATTCCCACTCGCGCTCGCTAAGGCGCACGTAATTTCCCATGCATTTCCCGAATTACAAAAAGCAGAATTCCAAGAATCAGAAACTTCCGAAAAACGGGAGCCGAAAACGAGGCACCCGAAATCAAGAAAAACAACGAGGGCTCTATTGGGCCCTTATAGTACAAAAAGCAAAAATGAACAGAAGGGTACGAAAGATAGCACAGGGTAGGGAAGGAGTTCGTCACAAGGCTGTGTGGTGAGGCCCAGTGGCCTGCGGACCTTTCGAAAACTGAGTTTGAATTTGCATTGTCAGGGACTGTTTTTTTTCTTTCCCCCCTCCTTTCTTCCACCTTTTCCCCTCGTTTTCCTTTTTTTTTCTTTTTTTCAATCTAAACCAAATTCAGTTACTCAAATCAACATCCAGAGGCCGGGTTCCTCTACAATACTTCCCGGTTCAGAACAGATATCTGGAAGCATCATCCAGCTTAGCTTACAGGCTGAAAGCCTGCAGGTCTTTTCTACAGACCCAGCAGCTCTTGGGCTGCGTCCTTCCTAGCTCTACCACCTATCTTCTCCAAGTCCTACAGGGGAAAGAATTCTTCTAGTACTAATCAAAGTCCTACCGGGAGACTTCTGATAGACAAAGTAGGAAGAGGGTCTAGACTGCTACACTAAAGAAGTCCGAACCAAACTGCACTACCGCTACTGTGGGCACCACTTGTCAGGGACTCTTCCGTGACACCCTTCTGCCTGGCCATGACCAAAAACCTTGCCCCTCGACAGCCTGTGTGGCGAAGGGGGGGTAAACTGTAGACCACCGACTTTCAAATTTTTCTGACACCTGTAGAAACTCTTTGAGTTTCGACAGCCTGTTCGGCGAGCCTCATAACCTCCTGATGAGTCGGCACGAAACAGTCTGGCATAGTCATGCTTTTTTTTTTTTTTTTTTTTTTTTGTCATGCTTTTTTTGAGTGGATAGCGAATACAACAACACACATGTAGCGGGGGGACGGGCAGGGGGCGGTGGGATTTTTATTTTTTTTTGTGTTCCGTTTTCTCTCTTTTTTTTTTGCCTGTGGGGATGTGGGGGGGTTCCTGCGCCCCTTTCACAACCCCTCTGTGCCGACCCCCCTCCCCCCCTACGCTCTTAGGCCCAGCCGTAAACGCGTCCAATGCATTCACCCGCTTTCAGTGAACGTGCGTTCAACGCGTTCAACAACTGAAGGTGGAACCTGCTTTCATTGAAGGCGCCATTACACAGGTTTGGGCCGGTAGTACCAAAACGGCCGAACTTTGGGCGCACAAAACAGGAAAGGTTTTGGCACGGGTGCTTACCACTAATTACCCCTCCAAAACTACTTAAGTTCTCAGTGTTTTCCAGCTTATGATCCGTCCGCTACCAGCATTGACCTTTTTTTGGTTCCAGGCCAGCCAGGGGTTGTAAGCTGGAGAATATTGAACAGGAGGGTATTTTGCTATGAAAGTCTGGGAAAAGGGTATTGTTGCAGAAGGAGCCGTTATTCTGCCATGAAAGTTTATTCTGCATGTCTGATCACACAAACAACCACATTGTTCAGGGACGCTGGACCCCATTTCAAGCAGGTGCTGTTCCCCAGCAAAAGATGGAGCCTACCCAACAATGATAGGGGTACCTGCTCTTATCAGCACCCCAAGCACTAGGCCGGGCTGTTCATCCAAAAAAAAAAAAGAAAAAAAAAAAAAGAGTTATTTGCACACTATTTTGCAGGGGTATGTTACGAGCGAAGTTAGTTGAAAAAAATGGTCTGCAATTCACCCAAAAAAGAGAATGAAGCCCAACTGTCACGTGTTGGAAGTTGTTGGCACATCTGGACTGCTCATACCCAGCAGCCTGCCCACTGCCAGCTCCAGTTGTGTGTGCCTTACAGACCTAATAATCATATGTATTAATCACCAGCTGCCACCAAGCCACGTGTGCCGGGCGGCAGTGCTGTACCCCAGTTCGTGAACGCAGGCCGGTCACTGATCACGAAAATCGTGACTGGTAGTAGTTCAAGCTGTCTCTTATACACATCTAAAAAAAAAAAAAAAAACACCACTCTTTCATGGTCTGGCCGTTCACAGGCGCCAGGCGCAAGGCCAAATGACCGGCCGGTCACGTTCACGGTGACAGCACTGCCGGCAGGTATCTCGTACGTCGTGTGGCATGCTGGCAGCTCTGTGAACAGAATGTCTGTAAATGTCCAGCAGCAATTAGTGCACAGCTCCGTACAGAGGACCTCTGTATTAATCAGTGTAATGCTAAGACCTGTTTGTTGTTGTCCAGCTTTCAGTCTGCAGTATTGCAAGCAATCCAAATAGGCAGCCCATTCCCATTGTGAATTACATTTCTGCAAACTGAGCCACATCTTGTGAATGTGGGATTGCGGCCAACATTTATCCTTTCCATGTGTTTCTCCCTTTCCTCTCCTTTCTTCTCTTTCCTTAGTATTTCTTTTCTTCTTCTACCTATTCCTCTATTTCTTCCTCCCCCTTTCCTTCTTCTTCTACTGCTCCTCCTCCTCCACGTCCACCTCCTCCGCCTCCTCCTCTTCCTCCTCCTTCTCCTCCTCCTCCTTCTCCTTCTCCTTCTCCTCCTTCTCCTTCTTCTCCTTCTTCTTCTTTTTCTTCTTTCTCTTCCTCGTCCTCCTCCTCCTCGTTCTCCTCCTCTTCGTCCTCTTCTTCCTTGTCCTCTTCTGCTGTTGGTTCTTCTGCGGCTGCTTCTCGAACCTTCTTCTTCTGCTGCTTCTCGAACCTTCTTCTTCTGCTGCTTGTTGAACCTTCTTCTGCTGCTGCTTCTTCTGCTGCTTCTTCTTCTTCTGCTGCTGCTTCTGCTGCTGCTACTTCTGCTGCTGCTGCTGCTTCTCCTGCTGCTGCTGCTTCTGCTTCTTCTGCTTCTGCTTCTTCTATTTCTTTTCTGCTGCTTCTTCTGCTGCTGCTGCTTCTTCTGCTGCTCCTGCTTTTGCTGCTGCTGGTTCTGCTTTTGCTGCTGCTGCTTCTGCTTCTGCTGCTTCTGCTTGTTCTGCTTCTGCTTCAGCTTGTTCTGCTTCTGCTTCTGCTTCTGCTTCTTCTGCTTCTTCTTCTTCTTCTTCTTCTTCTTCTTCTTCTTCTTCTTCTTCTTCTTCTTCTTATTCTGCTGCTGCTGCTGCTGCTTCTTTTGCTGCTGCTGCTGCTGCTGCCTTATTCATGTTTGGAAGAGGTTTCCTTGCATGGATGCACTAAGTTAAGAACTGCCTGTTGCAAAGAAAATGAGCAATAGCGAAATGATAGAATTCCAGAATGCAAAACCACACTGAAAGCCAAAAAGTACAACGCTGTTCAGAAAGCAGAAATGCACTCATATTCCACCAACGGAGAACCCAAGCACTGAATCGGAATGTCAAAGAGAGCATAATCTCGCCACCACCAACATAAGTATCCACAGCCCTTCCTCCGACTTGACGCTCAGCGCCCGCACTACGATCACACAGCTACTACCAGCCTACGAATTGACAATGCAACCTGTTGACGTCAGCAGCAACAACCAAAGTACATGAAGATGTAGACCCTGTGAAACATTGCCAAGACCAGGTACGTGCCCTCACATCATCATCCTCGTCTCTCTCTCTCTCTCTCTCTCTCTCTCTCTCTCTCTCTCTCTCTCTCTCTCTCTCTCTCTCGTCTTCTACACCCATGTCTCCCCTCACACGAAGACCACCACCACCTCTGCTGATTTAGTCAAAGCCCAAGCCGTGCTATGGGGGCTGGGCTATGGGGGCCGGGCTATGGCGCTGCCCTCAGCGGCGCCCTCCTCACACTCAACCGCACGCGTGCACGCTTCAGCACCCAGTGCGAGCGCACAGCCTTGGCCCTGAGCTCAAGCTCAAGCAGCGCTGCCGTGTTGCACACGGGTGCCCAAATCCCCCCACAGGGAGCCCGCCCCTCTCGTATATCATATGGAAAGTGGTGGGCGTATTGCCACTTGCTTGCCCCATGAGACCCGCCACAGTGGTAGCTTTAGTCTCGGCCAAAGTGTCCGCGCCCAGGCCCGTTCAGACAGTGGCCTGGGACGGAATTGGTTAGCCCTGCCCAACCACCCAGGCACAACCGTGAGATGCTCCCTGATTACCTTGTTTCGACCACGTTGCTGAAAGAGCCTCGAAGGCTGGAAGGGTCACAAATATTTCTGATTCTCACGAGCAAGGCGGATCTAACCAACTGGTGCGTGGCAACTGTCTGGCGCCCACCAGGATTTGCGAAAATTGATGAGTTCAGGGCACAATGAGATTCAGGGGCCCCGCCTTCACTTAGGCGGGCACGCGCCTGCTGCAGGGCCTTATGCCGGTATGCGAGGGGTGAAATCCTCACACTGTCGCTGATGTTACATGGTGACCCACATGAAATATTCACGAGACAGACATTGCCAACCTTCACCGAATGGAGATCAGGAGTAGTCATCGGGGACTCATCCCAGCTACCAAGAAGAAAAGGCCAGTTAACAAGAGGGTGTGGAAACACTGGAAAGGCTTGCCCTACCAGGACAAAAAAGCAAGCAGGACCTTCAGGCTATAAATAGAGTGACGGAGCATGTAACAGTTCACACTGGACTGCAGTATGCCTCAGGCAACTAGCGGAAAATGCTGGCAGTTGACCCAATTGCAAGGAAATATGTGTCCATTCAACGGGCAATGGGATTTTTTCAACGCCGTTGTACCCGTTGAATAGCCCTGGGGCCCCCGTTGAAACCCCGTTGAAAGGCACAACGCGGCCTCCCCGTTGAACACTGTTCAACGGGCCCCACGCAGCAGCGGCCGGGCCTGCGGCCCTGGCAGAGTGCACAAAAAAAAAGTTCAGTACAGGCCGGACCCCCGTTGAATCCCCGTTGAACCCGTTGAACGACAGTTGAAAGTTCGGCGAACGGATTCAATGCCGTTGAATACCCGTTGAATCCACGTTGAACAAAGTGCCCGTTCTGCGGGGAAATCGAACACCGGAGGCCGCGGTTGCGGCAACGGGCATGTCGACGTGCACGCCGTGAGCGCTGAAGGTTGAAAAAAAAAAAACCGCTCCACGGCCTCCGTCGTCCTCCCGGCCCGACCATGCGCACCGCCATTGCGGGTAAGCCAGCCTCCCCGCCCAGCCAGCCTGCGCGACACCGCCGAAACACCCCCTGTCTCACTGAACCCCGGAACCCCACTGCAAGCCCCCACCACTCCGCAGCCTGCACATCAGCAAACAGTGCCAAACACACCCC